TAAATTTATCATAACTTTTTTTTAAGTTGTAAGAACACTTTTGAAACACTTTTATGCCAAATAATTTAAATTTTATCATTATTCTCACATTTTTATATAAGCACTTATTTTTTTATTAAATTATTTTTTATTTATAATAATAATTCTTTTATGTTGCCAACTTAATTATTTACACTAGAGTAATATTTTTTTACATTTGTTCTTATATTTCATATGTTTAGAATTATGTCAACTCTTCCTCAAAGTGTTACAATAGTTCTAATTTATTTTATGCCAAAAATACTTATTTTATGGCTATTACAACTCTTTCTTAAGGTATTAAGAAACTTTTAACTCATTTTATGCCAAATAATACCAATTTTATAGCTATTTTCACATTCTTACATTACGACATTTTTAGCAAATTTTACGTTAAATTATATCAATTTTACAATTATTCTCATATTTTTACTTTAACACATATTTTTTAGGTTAGAATTTTTTTTATTTATAATAATAATTTTTTATGTTATTAATTTAATTATTTAAATTGCAAATAAAATTTTTTACGTTAGTTCTTATCTTTTATTATATTCAGAATCATCATAACTTTTTTTAAAGTATAACAACATTTCAAACATATTTTGCATCAAATTATACCAATTTTACTCTAATTTTTACATTTTTAATTTAGCACTCATTTTTTGGCTTAAAATTATATTTTATTTATAATATTAATTTTTTTACGTTATAAATTTATTACATTTTAATAATATTTTTTGACGTTTGTTGTTATTTTTCATTACATTTAAAATTATTAAAATTTTTTATTAAAGTGTAATGATACTTCTAATCATTTTACACGAAATAATATTAATTTTACGATTATTCTCATCGTTTTATGTTTAATTCTTTTTTTTGTTTAAAATTATTTTTTATTTGTAATAATAATTTTTTACGTTGCCAACTTAATTACTTATGTTATAATAATATCTTTTTACACTTGTTGTTACCGTTCATTATGTTCAAAATTATCATAATTTTTTCTTAAAGGTGTTACTACATTTCTAACCATTTAAAGCTAAATAATATTAATTTTACGATTATTCTCACCTTTTTTATAGTAACATTTATTTTTTGGTTTAGAAGTATTATTTATTTATAATAAATATTATTTTACATGCCAAAAATAATATTAATATTACAATAATATTTTTTATATTTGTTTCTACTTTTTATTACGTTTAGAATTATTAGTACTATTTGTTAGGGTGTTATAATACTTCTAATCCAAACTAAGTGACACCAATTTTACAACTATTCTTACCTTTTTATGTTATGAGACTTCTAACATACTTTACACCAAATGATTTCAATTTTACAATTATTTTCATTTTTTTACATTTACATTTTTTTGTTTAGAATTCTTTTTTATTTATAATAATACATTTTTTATGTTATCAACTTAATTATTTGTGTTACAATAAAATCCTTTATACTTGTTCTTACCTTTTATTATATTTAGAATTATCACAATTTTTTCTTAGGGGCGCTTGGTTTGTGAAATCTTAGATTTCAAAAGAAAGTGTGATCCATGGTAAAGTACAATACCCAGGGTTTTCTCTCATTTTTAGGGCATCTTGTATTTAGATTCACTCATTTGATTGAAAAAAATTCACGTATATTAATTCATGTATAATTACCATGATCTCCTTGACATATATGCTGGTAACTTTTCATTTTGTTTTATTAATAATAAGGACTCAAATGATAAATGATGCTTTTAATAGCAAAAGAAAATAAATATTTTATTTGATTGCTATTTTTATTTATAAAATATCATCAATTGAGACGTTTAGCACTTTGCATGCTTTAATTGATAAGGAAAGTTGTTGGAAAAAAATCAGTTAATGCCTTTGGCACTTTGCACGCCTTAATTGGTTATTTTCTAGTTTTATAAAATAATTATTTAAGGCGTTTTCTGTACAAAAAGGCTTTAAATGATCATTTTATTTTTTATATTATGAAAAAAATTAAAAATGATCCTTTTTTATATTATGGATTATTTAAAAATTATCTTTTAATTTATAAAAAGATTATTTAAGGCATTTATGTACAAAAAGTGCCTTCAATGATCTTTTATTTTTTTATACTATGAAAAAAATTAAAAATGATCCTTTAATTTATTTATAAAAAGATTATTTAAGGTATTTTTGTATAGAAAATACCATAAATAATCCTTTTGATAAATAAATTAAAGGTCATTTAAGGTTACGTTACAATAAAATATTTTATACTTGTTCTTACCTTTTATTATATTTAAAATCATCACAATTTTTTCTTAGGGGGCATTTAGTTCGTGCAATCTTGGATTCTAGAGGAAAGTGTAATCCTTAAGAAAGTACGATACCCAAGATTTTCTTTCATTTTTAAGGCATCCTGTGTTCAAATTTACTCATTTCGTTGGAGGAAATTTATGTATATTAATTCCTATATAATTACCATAATGTACTTGACATATATGATGATAACTTTTTATTTTATTTTATTAATAATAAATACCCAAACAATAAATTATACCTTTAATAGCAAAAGAAAACAAATATTTTATTTGATTGCTATTTTTATTTATAAAATATCATCAATTGAGGCATTTGGCACTTTGCCTGCCTTAATTGATAGAGAAAATTATTAGAAAAAAGATCAATTAATGCCTTTGACACTTTGCATGCCTTAATTGGTTCTTTTATTATTTTATGTACAAAAATACCTTAAATGATCATTTTATTTTTTTATATTATGAAAAAAATTAAAAATAATCATTTTATTTTTTTATATTATGGATAATTTAAAAATTATTCTTTAATTTATAAAAGGATTATTTAAGGTGTTTCTATACAAAAAACATCTTAAATGATCATTTTATTCTGTACAGACAATGTCTTTTTTTTTTTTTTAATAATAGGATCATTTAAGACGTTTTCTATACAGAAACGCCTTAAATGATACTTCAATTTTTTTATATTATGGAAAAAATTAAAAATGTCTTTTAATTTATTTATAAAATGATTATTTAAGGCATTCTGTACAGAAAACACATTAAATGATCATTTTTTTATATTATGAATCATTTAAGGTATTTACTATGCAAAAATACCCTAAATGATCATTTTATAAAAATTTAAAAGATCGTTAAAGGTTTTGTACACAAATGCCTTAAATGATCATTTTAAAAGGTTTATTCCCCATTCTTAAACTTTGAAAAACCAAACCACTAATGCAGTTGAACGATAAAAAGCTACAATACATGTATTTCCCTAAACCTGTCAACCCATTTACTTTGCCTTTTGGTTTCTTCATCTTTCTCATCACCACCGACTGTCAACCACTCAATACTGTTGGACCTCTTTTTTTTTTACTAGTATTTGCATATTTTATCCTTTTTGTACTATTTATATTCTTCTATATATGTCATTTTTGTCTTTCTTTACTATATATATTTATATTTTTATGTTTTTATGCATATTCCATTGTCACCTACATTGCACAACCTCCATTCATTGCATGTAAGGATTTTTTTTTGTTGCTTGGTTTTAGCATTATGGTTTGTTGAATGGTTTTATGGAAATTACTTGTTATATTTGTACTCATTTGTTTTGTATGAAACTTTTTTGATATGATAAAACATTGTATGGCTTATTCCCATATAATATTATTGGTTTTAGGATATTTTATGTATATTAGTCTATTAACTATAGTTGATATTGGTTATTTTTTCTGTGAGATATATAGAGAGACAATTTAGTGTATTTTGTATAATTATGATCAAAATTGCAAGTATTATGACATCTGAATAACATATATCTCTTGCTACTGAACATGAAAAAAACACACTCGTGGTGAAAAAAGAAAAAGAAGGGCACATAGTAAACAAATTAAAATGATTGCGACAAAAATTCATGCCTAGTTCAATCAATGTAGGTAGCCTATGTTAGATGGAGCTACAAAGTTAGCTAGTCACATTGGAGCAATCATCTAGTATAGTATTCGTATTACATAACATAATTGGCAGATGGTTTCTAATGATAAAAAAATAATATATGGGAGTTGGTTGTGGTATGTTTATTTAACAATATCTAAATATTTGTTCATTTAGAAATTGAATTGAATTAATGTATTCATACTAATTGTTTTAAATTTATTAGGAATGGTTTGACATTCCAAATGAGTATAAAAAGCTTGTATTGCAATCAACTAGAAAAGCATTCAGGACTTTAAGAATAAATTAACAACCCAATATATTTTACTATTTATTAATAATTCTAATTTATTGGCTGATCTTTCATCATCATATGCAAATATTATCAATTATGAAGAGTGGAAGCAATTCGTTCGAGATCATCTATCAAATGAATTTTTGGTACGCATACCCAGTTTATTAATTTTTTATAATATTTTATGTAATATATTCAATATCTTAATATGTGATTTATCTTTTTTTTTTTTTTCCAAAAATTCAAAGAACAAAAAAGAACATTCAAGCCAAACAAGTATATCACCATCGGACATCAAGAAATGGTTATGCAAATGTCAAGCATGATCTTGTAAGCATTCACACACTTGTTTTATACTCATATATGAATATTAACAAACATGTGAACATAGATTCTAATTCTTATATCACCTTAATTTTTTAAGAATCATCTAGCTTTGGAACTAAAGTTTTATTGTATAACTTTTTTGTCACACATAATATTTTTTGTGTTTCCAGATGAATTTGCCACTAAATTTGAATCTGGTGAACTGCTAACTAGTTGTAGCTAAGATCCCTTGTTTTTAGTATTAAGATCCAAAAAAAGACATGATCGAGTTCGAAAAGTTGGTAGATTTATGTTGCCATCAGAGTTTTTTAATAATCAACCCAAACCCCTTTCGATGAAAAATATAAAATATGAAGCAATTATTTAGCAACAACAGTAAAGATTTAATGAGCAAGAGCAACACCTGAATGATCAATAGCAATGGCTAGTAGCTTTGGAGGTGATGTTGATAGCAATGTAGCCCAACATGCCTGAAGGGCAATCTGTTACTAAGATCCAACAGGGAAATGCTTTCACGAATCAAATCTGCTAGCTAACCCAAACTCTGGTAATAATCATTATTTTCATTATTCATTCATTATTTATTTGTTTTTTATATTTTTATTTGATTTTAATACTTATATTTCATCATATATTTTAACAGAATGTTGACACTTAAACGATTACCCTTGCAGAAGCTGCCATTAATGCATTAGCTAATTATGTACTTGATCATTTATCTAGGGGAAATGTCATTATCGTCGAGTCTGAGTATAGGTTATTTGATCATCCATCCATTTCTTACATTGGAGGGCCTAAAATTGAGGCATTTTGTACCCTGAATGAGATATCAGCTTCTAATATTGTTGTCTATATAAAGTTAGCTTATCAATTAATTTAAATATTCAAAGTCTATATCAATTATTCTATATTAGGGTGTATTTCTAATTGGTATTGTTAATTGTATTATGCAACCTTCTATACAGAAAAATCAAAACGAGACAAATGACTTATAGATTCAGCTTCGTTAACCAAAATGTGATTAGTCAAGAGAGTGGCACTATCGTTATTTATGGTCATCATATAGGTTAATGCATACAAAAACGAGTTAATTATTTTCTAGTGCCTTATAATGCTACATAAGTTCTATTTGTACTACTAAATTTGTATCATTTATGAAATCTAATATCATTCCTAATATTTGTATATCATGCTTATTATTTTGCAGGTGTCATTGGTAGCTTACTGTAATTGATATCAATTCTTGGATGCCATACTTATTTAACTCCATTTAATTAACGACAATACCTAAATCGCTATTAATAATTTAATAAAGAAGTATTACATATTATTAATAAGTGATAATTATATTATATTGTGTTTCTTCATAATTGCATTTTTTTTACTATTGTTTTTCTGTTCAATTTAGGGGAATGGCTGCAATTGATAAGAACAGAAAGATAAATTGGGTGTTATTACGATAAGTGTGAAATATATTCTTTTATGTTGAGTTTGTTTAGATAAATGTTTACCAACCCACTCATTTTTTTTTCATGTACCTCGTCAACCAACAGTTATCGAATGTGGATATTATATTTTTCGTTTTATGAAGAAAATAGTTTTATATGATTTTATGAGCACACCATTCATGGTTAGTATTGATTCCATATAATAGTAATATCTTTCAATAAAAAAACCTAAAGTTTGTGCACATTTAATAACATTGACTTTTGATTTTTTGTTATTAGTGGAAGAATAATGGAAACTTCACAAAAGACGAACTTGATGAAGTCCATAAAGAGTGATCTAATTATGTATTATCATTCGCTAAACCTTAATGTTAGAGAATATTGATTGGTTGTAAATATATGCATTATATTGATCTATTTCTTTTTTTTTTTTGTAAAGGTAGTATGATTGGATATTTGTTATTTTCAATTGCTTTATTGGTTTATTTTTATTGGTATATATTTGCTTTATATCATTCACATTATATGAAGACATATACAACATTGACCATCGAACATTCATATTTTTATATGCCAATGTTATCTATTATAAATCCAAATTGTGGGGTCATATTGAATTATTACAATGTTTGTTTTCAAAATGCAAATATGAAATTTGTTGTATCAAAAATATGTATTTGATTTACACAAGTACAATGATCTATTATAAATAACCTTTCCTTTCATGCTTTAATTAAATAAAAAGGTTTACAAAATTATTGTATGAATCTGGATACAAAATGTAGTGCGATCTACATGTGTCCAAAAAGAAAAAAGTCAAATGATGGACAATATGCATTACATTCATTTATCTATTTCCTATTGTAATTACTTCTAAATATAGCTCGTAGAGTAAAGAAAAACTTAACTTTATGATTTTTTTTTCAATATATACCCACCAACTGTGATTATTTAATCAAGCATGAATTCATCAAGTTGTATTATTTCATTAAAAAGTGACTTTCTTTTATCCATATTCTCGACTTCTATCTAGAAGTAAGCTAAAATACCCTATATCACATTCACAGCCCTATTATATAAAGCACCAATTTTATCAATCTAATCAACCAATTCGATGATTAGTTCATCTGCTCCCAGAACGCTTTTTGCTTAACAACATTGTCCTAGTATTACTCGAAGTAGCAGAACCAATTTTTTCTTCATCGTCTCCTCTTTTCATATTTCCTTTGGCATGGATATCAAACTCTGAAGAGAGATAAGCATCCTCATTAACATTCAATGACTCAATCGCATTGGTTGTTGTTTCAGCCCTTTGATCGATTGCTCTATCAGATCCAAAAATCACTTTAAAATCATAAAAGAATAGGAAAGATTTGTTCCTTAACCCTTTAGGATGTAAGTGTGATTGGCAAAAGTTCATGCATTAATAAATAATTTAAATAACTTGAAAAATAAAACATAAAAAAATTTAAAAAAATTACCAAAAATCAACCAATCAATGTCGATCAATAATCTAGGGGAAGTTTGACTGGTTTAACGTAATTCAATGCAGTTTTCTACTGCTTGAAATGATTTCTACTGATTCAAGCCAGGTTAGACTGATTTACTGGTGATTTAGCTAGACCAATGCAAAAATGGAAAGTTGTTGCCTAGGGATGAGTCAGGCGAACAAACTTTAGGTCAGGTAGGGTTCATGCTAAGGTGTTTTTTTTTTTTCTCTATTTTTTTCCAAAGTTTTTTTTTTACTTCATTTCCCACTCTCCTCTTAAAAAAAATCAAAAACTCTATCAAATCTCCAAAGTTAGATGGCCACCCTCTTCTAAAAATTGACACCCACCAATCACTAGTGTCGATTTGAACCCAAAATCCATCGAACTTTTTTTTAACCCTCTTTCTCTTTCTCAAACTAGTTTTTCCTAACAATTACCTAAAAAGCCTATATCTGCTTCGATAGCTTACAGCTTCAACACAAAAAAAAAAGCTCTACTCTATTGCTTCAATGACTGCCATTCCAAACTATGTCTATTATCTCATTCTAACCTCTTTCCCTATAAAAAATCAAGGCTTAAACCTCTCCAAACTCCTTAAAACCAAAGGACCCCAAAAACTTCCCTTTGTCTTTTGACTATTTTTTTGTTTCTTTTATTTTGGCACTATAGTTCCCCCCAAAATGATGTGTTTTGTTGATTTTTTGTGTTGTAATTTTTTGGTTCAGGTGGGGAAGGGTTTGGGTTCTCGGCTATTAAGGAGTGTGGTGGCTATAGGCTTTGGATTAGGTTGTGGTGCAGGTAAAAACTGGTGCAACTTGGCTGATTGGTTTTGATTTATAAGGAAGTGGTGAGGGAGGCAACTAATGGGTGATAGGTTTTGAATTTTCTTATTAAATGAAAGGTCTTTCGGTTGTAAAGGTTGGGTCTGGCTTATTACTCTAGTAGTGATAGAAGGGCTAATGGTGATGAAAGAGCTCTAGTTGAGGGCTGTGGGAAAGTTGCTATGGGATTAAGGGGTTGAATGGCCTCTTGGATTTTGGTGGGTTTTGCATAGGTCAATTCCTAATTTAGTTAGGAAAATGCTTGACAGTGGAAAGTTTTTGGCTGATCTTTTCTTTTGGGTTGCTTTGGCTTTTTTAGCTAAACTTCCCTTATTGGTTCATCCTCCACCCTTTGGTATGAATTCTACTAGGATTTTATTAGGATCCCAGACCATAACTCTGTCTGGGAATTTAATTTTTTTCTAAAAACGATAATTGAGGCTTTTGGATTGTTCTTGCAGATGCCTTTGATCAAATTATGTTGAGAGGTAGTGGATGAAAAATGGGGTGAAAAATGGAAAGCCGAATTTGGAATGGCAATTTAAGGTTTGGAGTCTGAAAAGCTGAGAAAGCTTGCTATCATGGGTAGAAGGGGCAATGCAAAGCTTAGGTCAACAAAATTTCAATCAGCTTATGCTAACTGAAAAAAGGCAATATTGGAAAGATGAACAAGAGCCAAAAATAAGAAGGGCAAAGCTAATATGAGAGAAGAGTAAAGTTGACCATGAAATTAATTGCTTTGATAGAAACGTCCTAGTTTAGGTTTTTTTTTTTAACATTATAAAATTTTCATATTTTTGTATTTATTTGTATTATTTATTAATCAAAATCAAATTTGGGCTTCAATATTAAATTTGGGCTCTTGCATTGAATTTGAGATTTTTAATTGATTTAGATTTTCATTAGGCTTTCAAATCCAAATCCAAGTGACCCAAAAGTGAATTGAATTTCAACATATCAAAATAGTTAAAAAAAATTAATCCGAAATAAATTTAAATAAATTCAATTCAATTTAAAAGCTTAAGATTTAAATTCACTAAAATTTTACATTAGTTAACAAATTCTTTTAGATATTAAACAAAGTATCGAAATAGAAAAAGAAAGATCTATAAAGCAAAAGTTAGAAAAAGAAAAAGAAAAAATCTCAATTAAAAAAATAAGAATAAGCAAGACACCAACTCTTTCATAAAAGCTAAAAAAATAAAAATAAAAAATCCCAATAAAAAGATAAAAATGGGAATAAGCAAGAAGTTTACTCTCTCCATCCTTCCTATCTCTTTCTTTACATGCTATTTTTCTCACCCTTATCCCCTTTCAACCTTATCCCTTGTGGATTTAAACCTTTCTTCTTATTTTTTCCACGCAAATAACCTTAACAAATTAGAAAATTTCATTTATGTCTCTTTTTTTTAACAGATGTCATACAATCATAGGCTTGTAAATAAAATTATATATATATATATTAATATATGTTTAGACAGTGATAGTGATACATTACGAGGGGAAAAATTTGTTGGAGATTTATGGTGAATCCCAGGTTCATAAATGCACTAAATTAGTCAAAATATTTGTGCTGAAATTAGTATGGGCTATTACTCCATAATTTAAAACATTAACGTTGACATGGAAAATGAAAAATCAGATGACTAAAACCATATAAAAGAAAGACTTATATTGCCCAATAAACCAACTTCCAAGACAAAAAAAAAAAAAAAGGTTAAACATTCAATTTTTTAGGTTACTTGTCATTTTCATCTAAATTAGTTCAATGCATTTAATTTTCAACTGTTCTATTATGATACTAAATTGGCCTAAGTTGTAATTTTCCTGGCCAACTAATCATGTCAAAATATTTTATTCATAAAATTTTGTGGTGAATATTCAATTTGAGAAAAAAAAAAAAAAAAAACAAAAGCGTGTAGAAAGAATAAAGAGTTAGTATAAAAATAGTTAATGTATTATATATTTTTTGTTATTTTAGTTCTTAAAAAAATAAAATTTTTACTTTAATATTTAAATTTTCACTCGATTAAGCATTGTAGTACTCCAATCTAATAACATTAATTAAATTATTTATATGACATTAATACTCAATAAATTATAACACATTGCATAGATATTTAATTATCATCGAATTATTTATTTTTCATGTCAGAATTAAATAAAAGGTTTCAAAAAATTTTTAAAAATATATTTTCAATTCAAAATTTTAAAAAATAAAAAAAAAAAAAAAAAAAAATTTTTTTATTAACGTGACAATAATTAATATAATAATGATTGAATATTTAAGATATATGTCATAATTTTATTAAATATTTTATTATGTCAATCACTTAATTAATAATAACAATATAAAATATTAAAATACATGATAAAATGGAAATTAGAATGTCAAAGTAAAAATTTTATCTTTTTAAAGCCCATGCATATAAGAAATATAATATATATATATATATAATATACGAGGCATTTTACGTATTAACGCAATAATTAAACAAGCAGAGCGTATGTACGAAGCATTAAAAAAAAAGCATGGGTAGTAGGTACGGTTGAAGTTAATGCAATTTATATATACATAAAGAATAGACCCATTTATGTAACGTGAAACGCTCTAACTTAGAGGAAATATGATACTTTAATTTCACACTAATTATAAAAAGGAGATCAATGAGATATAAAAAAATTCACTTTATTTTTTTTTATGAATATTTTTTATGAAAAAAAATCATGAGATCAAAAAAAATAAAGCAAATAATAACTCATAAAGATATAAATAATAACAAATAAGTTGATCTAAGACGTTGAATGAATATATGTTTAAATCTTGAAATCGTACGAATTTAAAAGTTGAGTTTTGATCGGTGACACTTACACCAAGATGATGTGATGTGATCGACGTTACATGATTTGAAAATGTTATAATATGGTTTAATACAGTTTCACGAACTAAGGAGAGCAGCAAAACAGAAGAGATCTTTCACTACAAGCCCCCTCCCCCCTTTCAGATAAAAAGAGGAAAAGTTTCTTGTTCGTTCTTTGCTTCAATAGTGAACCCCCAGCAAATGGAAGCCAAAAGAAACAGTAAAAGGATCGCTTCTGCTCCGCCTAAGTTGTCAAGCCTCCAAGCTGAAGACAAGAGAAACGATGTCGAAACTTCTTGTAAATGGACTATGGGAAACCAGGTAAAATATCTAAGGTCGAAAATTTTTCATTTCTGGCTTCTTTCTTATCCCCAAACAAAGGGAGTTCTACATTTTTTTGTTCCATATGTTATGTCAATATTTTAAAAATTTTTGAAAATATAGCTAGGCTACCCTCTTTAATTGAAAGTTAGAATTGTAAAACAAATTGGTAAATTTAGTCTAAATAGGAAGGTAAGTCAAATTAATCTAAAGTGATCGGGTGCAACTTATCATTCGGTCAAAATGATTAAATGCAAGCTTTTAATTCCAAAAAAAAAAAAAAAAAACAAAAGTTTTGATAGGTATTGAAGTAGTGAAAATTTTCATATCAGCTAAGTTGGGATATTATTGATACATAAACATAGGACTTCCTCCATCCTTTATTGTTTGTTATGTATTGGTTTTCAGGGAGTTTAAAAACAGTTTTGATTTTAATTTATTTAATATTAAAATTTAATTTTTTTATAAAATTAAAGTTTCATGATTTTTAATGTTAAAAAATAAAAAAATCATAAAAATAATTTTAAAATATAAAATATATAAAGAATTTATATGTTTAAAAAATAAAATAAAACATAATTTTGAAATATCTTTAAAATATGGACAAAAAAGGAGATAAAGAGAGTAAGTGTTATTCCACGTATTATCAATTATTCTAAATTAAAGGTTTAACTAAAAATTTAATTAACAATTTACATGATGTCAAGATCACGTTTTAGATACGTTGTATCTACAAGGAGATTTTATGAACTTTGAATATATTTGGATGGTAATGACTTTAAATATATTTGGCCGAAACAGAAACTTTGAATATAAACTTTTTTTTATTAAGATATGAGTTTTGACTCCCATTAATGTCAAATATAAATATCTCATTCTAAGATAAAACACATATTATTAAGTGTGTAGAATTAAAAAGAAAACATCTACGATTCATAAAAATTTCTCGGCAAAAAGAATCATAGTCATTCTTTCTCTTTAATAAAAAAGTTTTTCAATACGTTCACTAACACATAGGCAAAATTTTTCAACTGATTCCTTTTTTTTTCTTTTGATAAAAAAAACAAAGATCAAATGATTATGATTATCTACTTGTTTTCATAATTAATAAAAAAAATCGCTAAATATGCAATAATAAAGTATTTCTTCCTAAAAAAGAAAAGATTATATGAGAGAAAGAAATGCTCAAGAGGGAGTTGTTTAAAACTGTTGAAGCAATATGAATTGATTAAAAGGGAATTGTTTAATCTTACTACAAGATATTGCAAACTGTAGAAACTTGTCCTTGAGCCAACTAATAAAAAATCAACTAAACAATCTATAATCATGCCTCCAAACAATAAAAAAAATTGTTGAGCAAATATATTTTATGAAACCAAATCATTTCATTATGTATATATGCAAACCTAGAACTAAGATGGTAAAACTAAGTTATTAACAAAACTTCAATTGATAGAAACCAAGAAAACTACCTAAAAAATATATCATAAGTTATATATATATATTTAAAATCAATCAAAAAGGCAAATAAAGCTTGTATTTAGAGGAATGTATATCTATATAATAGATATACAGAGAGAGAGAGGTAAAGACAGAGAGAGGTTTGTCATCCTTTTTCTTCAAATCTTCTAGTCCTCTATCTTAAACAAAGAATTGAATGAAACAAAAATTAAAACAAAATTTTTTTTTTGAAAGTTTGAAAATAGCAAATATCGATCAATCTTGAGCAAATAAAAAATTTTATATATATGGAGCAAAGAACAAATTAAGAAATTAATCATTTAAAAAATATAAGAAAATTTTAATCAACTTTTCTTACAACTAAAAGTAATGGATCAAAGAACAAACAAACAAATTAATTATTTAAATGGAAATTCGAAAAATAAAAAGATATAAATCAAATAATTGTATTGAGAATACATGTATAATTGGGATTTCCTAAACCTATACATAAAAATATCCCAAATAACTTAATGAAAAAAAAAATGTAAACTAAATCTAAATGTAAGATGTACAAATAACATAAACAAATAGATCAAATTAAAAGAAAAGGGAGAAACAAAAGTAAAAAAATAATTGAGCAAATTAATAATTTATTTGTTATTTACAAAATTACAAACCTACCATTCACAATAATATTGAAAGTATTTATAAATGTTAAACTATAAAAGAGTTTTAAAAAATATATTAAGCAATATAAATAATTTAAATAACTTGATAAATCAAAAGAAGAATATATAATTGCAAAAAATAAAAATAAAAGGATTCAAAAAATATAAAACATATAAAGCCAAAGACATGCACTGCATAATATAACCTAAAGAGCAGTAAAGTTGGCACAAAGATTAAATTGTGTTTAAAAAAAGGTGCAAACAAAATAAAAAAAAATAACGGGGAACTTATTTACGTACAAGGTCAACATATCTGAATGATTTTAAATGATAATTGAGTTTTTAAAATTTAAATTTCATTATTTTAATTATATTTATATAGGACTTTAAAGATAGAAATTTAACCTTACAATTTTTTTTTCTAATTTTTCAACTAAATAAATGCTAACATTTATGATGTAATGGCCGTATATAATGCTTATGTTTTATTGTAAATAACAGTCACTACAAGAGTTTAAGATTTTAGTGACCTTTTTTTTTACCTTTAGCGGCATTTATAAACGTCACTAAAAGATTTGATGCGTTTGCAAAAAATATCAATTAGAGTGTCAGTTATACATGCATCGAAAAAAATAATGGTGTTTTATAAAAAACACTACTATAGTAGTGACGTTTGTATTTGAAAAACACCGCTATTTTAACGGTATTTGTATATTTAAAAAGCTGTTAATTTAGTGATATTTGTATCAGAAAAACACCACTAATATGTTGGTGTTTATATGATAAGATGCGCTAAATTAAAGACATTTATATAAAAAAAAGCTGCTAATTTAACGATATTTTCTTATTGGAATGCTGCTACTTTTAGTGGCTTTTTATGGTACAAATGCCACTAAATTTAAAATTTAGTGACAATCTTGAATGCGAACACAACAAAATTAAGAAATTTAATTTTTTTAATAAAAAAATTTTGTTAATATTTATTATTTTTATTAACAAAAAATGTTAAAAGAAATAAAAATGAACTTAAATTAAGAAACTAAAATTAACAAATACTTAATTTACGTTCAAATATGCGTTTAATTAAGACAAAGTTTAATAATTAGTATAATAACATTCAAATTGTTTTAATACATTAACAAAAAAAATTTAAAATGTATAAAATTGATGATTGTATAGATTTGAAAAACTGCCAATTGATGAAAGAATTTTTTCACCTTAGTCACTAGCATGCTCAAGAACCTATTGAATAATATTATACAATTTTCAACACTTAATACTAAGGTTTTTATATTAAAAAATATAAATATTTACTAAATATAATACCTGAGTTGGTGGACTCCCAAGATTAGTTCCCAAAAATTGTTGTTGCACAAAATTTATAAGATGATCGAATCAATCATGCAACTGCTAAAATTTTGCATGATCTTGCTCCATTCTAGCATGTTCTTCCTCAATTTTGCACGCTCTTGTTCTCTTTCTGCTTTAATTTGTTGAAAACATTATTGTATAGTTTGCAACTCTCGAAATATATTGCAAAGACTAACTTGCTAAAAATGTAAATTGCTGAGAGCTATGCCCATAGTAGGTAGATGGTGTTAGACTCAATCCAAGGCCTCAAATTCGTCCATGCCTTTCTTTTCTAGTAACTTCTATGAATATTTGATTTTTCAATTCTTGCATGTTAACAGAACCATCAGATGCTACGTCAATCTCAACAGCCATATTCTCTTTCGCTTTTCCATATAAATTAGTTATATACAACTATCAAGTTTAATGATTAATTGATAATATGTTAAAAAAAGTAAATATTTACTTTCTGTTAAAATAGATGTTACAAATTACCACAATTTCTTATGTTTCAACATTCAAGAAAGATCTATCTTTTTTTATGTGTGTTAAGCGAAATAGTCCAACACGTCCAATTTTACCATCCATCTCAATCTCTTATTCAAAAACATATGTTATTATTAAATACATATTAACCGCAACTTATTCATTTATATCAAGTCTGTCAATTAAGTTCAAAAATTTTGAATAATTTTAATATCATGTATTTAATCTATCTAAATTGTTAAAACATAAAATGCCTTTATTTATAAGTGAACTTGGAAAATAAACTCATTCCTTGTAAAAAAAGGTTAAAGACAAGAGAATAAATTGTCTAATTAATTTAACTAAAAATTAAATTCAATTAAGAACGATTTGAGTTAATTTAAGTAGTAACTTATTGAAGGTAAGAATATTGTTTATTTAGAAGTGAGTAATCGCAATTAATGTAGACAAGATTTTTTTAAGGTAATTTGATACGTGAAATATCTTAGATATTAATAAAAGTCATTGAATGTAATTTTTAATAATGGAAATAAGATGTTTGAAATTAAATTTATTTTATTATTAAAATTTTAAATTTCATTTTTGAAATGTAAAATTAATTACATGACATACATCAAAATTTTAGATTGTCTACATGTTAATAGAGTAGACTATCTATATCAAATTATTTCTTTTTTATTAAAAGTTTTGATATTTTTATATATTTGTATAAGATTAACATGTGATGTGATACTAATTCTTAATATAATTTCAAATAATAATATGTAACAGATAAACCATATTTCAAGTATCACATTAAAAATTTTATTATAATTTAAAAACCATTCATAATATTAATCCTAATATTTTTGAAAATATTTGAATATTTGGAATAAATTTCCAAAACAGTAAATTAGGTTGTCACGTTTTCATTGTCATAATTAATTACTAATTAATAGCTTTCAAAGACATATTTAAATGTGATGCAATGACATGCTAATTAATCATAACGTGTAACTTAATTAATGAACAAAATTAAATATTTATAAAAATTAAATATTCAAAGGCTTTTCAAAATAAATTCTTTCAAGTATTAATTATTTTTTTAAAAAAATTATCACATTGAGCATATCAAATATAAACCATTACAAATTACTATAAGTCACAAATTTTAAAATTAGTTACTAGAATTTGACCCCCGTTATGTCGAGATTGATTATCTTCTATTAATTTTTATTTTTAATATATTTATTATTTTAATAATAAATATTTTTAATACAAACAAAATATTATAAAATATAAAAGTTTAATATTTAATATATTGTAATTATTGTTTTAGTTATTAAATTTTCATAATATACTAGAAGTATTATGATTTTTTCAATTATTCAATTAATTCTATGATCCTTTCAATTTATCAAGTTTACTAAGACTTTTTTTAATATTAAGTATATAGATTAAGTCATTGATGCACCGATTAAAGATGTCTGTAAATCGGATCGAAGGTGACATATTTCACTTTTTAAAAGCCACAAATACTTCTTAGACCTGTTTTTTTTTTTCCCTCTCTATTTAATCCTTTGCTTAACCGGGCATGATAGGCCCAAGTAGTCACTATTAAATTTTCTTCTGTTGGATATTACCTATCAGTGTTTTACATGTTGCCTACATTTTTTCATTCCTAACCATGTATCTTACATGTTTCCACAGATGCATCTGGTATCTAGTAGCGATACATTATCCAGTACCACCACAACCCCTCCTACTCAGGTAAATGAAAATGCCTATAAATAATGAAGTTTATGTTAAAAAATTAGGTGATTACTTTAACGGATTGCAAAAATACTTAAAATAGGATGATGGAATGCATGAATTGCCATGTATAAGGTTTCTGATCATCTGCTAGATCCTTCTAAACTGGTGCTTTAGTATCCCACGTTCTAATTTGGGAGGAAAAAGAAAATTATAACTATTTTGAAAATATATGATTCTTTGAACAATTTCTAAAGGGAAGGCGTCAAGTTTTATCTAAACTGTGAAGAGTAATTAATTAAAGCAAAGAAAAGTACTTCATTGTCTAAATTTTTCATAATTAGATATCTGAATTTTTATTTCATCATACAACAAATATGATAAATATGATAATTATTGGTGGTGCGTGCATTAATGTCACTGCATATTAAGCTTTCATCACTAATAACTTTTGATTACAAAAAATTTATCGTCACCACTTTTGTAACATTTGCATTGACACTAAAGATTAAATGTGACAATACCATGTTTTCAACACCAAAGCATGACTCAAAGGTAACAAAATTGCAAAAGGTCACCTTATTGCCAATCTTTTGTGACGATTACTTGTGTCAATAAAAGATATATAAAACCATCAAGAATAACAAAATTGTCACCAAATACAAGTTAAATTTTAAAATATTGATGATCATAAATTCGGCGATGGCGAAATTATCACCCAATAGGTTATGCATTAATTTGTCACCTATGATAGTACAATAAAGTTAAAAGAAATTATCAAACTTCATTAAAAATGAACAAAAATTTAATCATAGTTGATAATTATATATTCATCACAAAAACAAACATTCAATGACATTTATATGTATGTAAAAATTTTAATAAGTTTCTCACTAATAAATTATTTTAATGTCAAAAAATATTGTCTCATAAAATATGACGAAGTTCAAATGTCACGACAAATAATAAACATAGCTTTTTCAAACATTGCCAATTTTTATGACCTATTTTAAGGCATTTGTTTAAAAGCCTTAAATTATCCTTTAGAGCAATTATTGAGATGAAGTAAAACGTCACTAAAAATCAATAATTTTTTTGATAAATTCAATATAAATAATATTAAATTATGAGTAATTACTCAAGAGTACATTTTCCAAAACCTATGTAAAATCCTATATTAAGTAATATTGTTCACAAAGCATAAAACTAATAAAATCTATATTGTCTATTGTGAATCTTAAATAAACTATCTTAAAAGCATAATAATATTAATGAAAATCCTCAAATAGAAGAGTACCAAAATTAGCTAATAGCTAGCATAAGCTTGTTTTCAAACGATCATTTCAATTCTTGTGCCGTGTCTAGTGCACCATTTTGTTGGATTAATGCTTTTTGGCTTGCAACTAAACAACTAAAGAAAAATGGGCTCTTGAGATCAGGCAACAACCATATCATCAACGCATAAAAATGATCTATCTAAAAGCCAAGTAAAAGAGAATTTTGAAGATCAATTAATAAGCCACAATATAAACAGAATTTTGAACCAAGACATGAAATGACTATATTTAAAAAGTTAAATTACGCATTTAGAGAGAAGTGCTAGAGTAACACTATATTTAAACAAGCATACCATCAACAAATAAGCTAAGATTCATTTATTTAAGTTCAATAGTTAATGCAAGCAAATAAATGATAAAAGGCAATATGCTTCACAATTTGGCAATCCGTGTTTTTATGTCATGTTTCGTATCATATTTAACACGTGTAATGACATAAATTATCCTGTTAAGGCATGTAAAGAAATGGTTGGAGTACTTACATTATCAGCCTTTTCGGTGTTACATATAGGTTCTTCAATAAATTCCAAGCGATAAAAAAATTCCTCTTGTTTAGTAGCAGATTCCATTCCATCATCAACCAATAATTGGTACAACTGGGATCTCATGCATCTATTTTCCACCATAAATTTGGTTCCATACTACATGCACAACCATTTTTTCTTTCTGTCCTCCTTTTTTTCCTTGGTAGGCATTTTGTTGTCTTTTGGTTGATAAAGTTCATGTTTACTAGGTTGAAATTTGTTAGTGTTGCTAGTGTTTGGGTATTTCATTGGTGAATTATAAGTCAAGAAAGAAGTCTTATGTACTAGTGATAATGGTGAAGCAAAAGGTTTATGAGGTTATGTAGTATAAGTATGTATAAGTAGAGATGTTAAAGGTAATTTATAGGGTGTAAAAGGTTTCCTAGATAGTTGAAGATTAATGATTCCATTTGCTTTGTAAGGTTATAAGCATGGGTTAAGTTTTTGGGATAAGATATTCTAACTAACTGGGATATATCAAGGTTCAAATTACTGACGAAGATACTAAGGGTGTGCTCATTATAAAGTTGTATCATATTCATAAAACCTCAAATTCATCATAGTACTCATCTATTGTACCAAATTGTTTTAGACTAACTACATCAAACATAAGATCAACAAACTCATTTTCATCAAAATGAGATTGTACTTTAGTAATAAAATGATGTTAAAGAACTTTATAAAGCTTACCCTTATTTTTTATGAACCTTTGATGCCATTGAAGAGTTTTTCCTTCTGAATGCATTATCATAACTCTAACTTTGTCTATTTTTTGAGTTTGGTCAGCTTAAAAAAACTACTCTATCTTCATCAACTAGCCCCTGAAATCATTGCCATCAAAATGAGGACACTCCATCTTAAAGTGTTTGGTATAAGCTCTAGCTGACATAGAAAAATCCTTCTTATGTATGCTAGGCTTCATCGCACTGGCCACCATTATTGTTTTTTATTTATCCACTAAAAAAATAGCTATCCTTGCATCTGTTGTCTCTATAGTTTTTGATGAGTGATCCAACTTAGATGTCATCTAATCAAACATTTTATGCATTTTAGCTACCATATTTTCCAATCCAACTCGTATTTCATTTTTTAGCTTTTTCTTAGTCTGAGCTACCGTAAACCTTATATTAGAATCTATTTTTTCAACCTCCTTCTATAACTATCTTAGCTCTCTTTGCAACCTAGTGGTTATACCCTTAACTATGACAGAATCAAAAAGCTATGATACCAAAATGATAAGAGCTAAATGAAATTATAGGATCTATGGTAGCAAAGTACCAGCTTAAGCTATGGTAAAAGAAGAGAAAAAAAAAGAAAAGTTTTAAAAAATTAGAGAATATCATAGAATTGTATTAAATGATGCCATACAAATGTTTTTTCTCATCTTAAAATCACAATAACAAACTATGATATCATAATAGCCTCTAATAGCACCATTTGTAACTAATCTCACACTAATACTATTTAACAGCTAGTTTAACTGTTATTTATTTTAATATCATATTTTTGGATTGGACTCACTCTTAGGCCCTGGTACGATTCTGGCTTATATCATGACACTAGTTTTTTTTTCAAATTTCACATGAAAACTACATGTCACTTCCTCTTTCAATAGAATTTGAATTTCTCGAAAAATTTTGTTTCATAAAAATTGAAAGAACTTAAAAGCAAAAATCTCAAATCTATGTCATCATCACCTCTAATGGCTATTGAATTTTCATCAAGTTTTTCTCTCACCCTTCTCTGAATTTCCACCATTGGGATATCCCAAAAACTCCTAGCATGTTCTAGATCTAAAAATCTGGCTCTAAACTTTAAGTTAACGAAAACCACCTTGTCGATAGTCAAATCTCTTGAATTTTTAGTTTGTTTTTAACCTTTTCATGCTTTTCCTTTCTATAGGCTCTGACTTTCAAGATTTTTATCTCCGCTATCAATAATCTACATTACTACCTTAACAATGGCTCTCGCTATCCTCATGGTATTTTTTGCTTTCTACCATTTACCAACCCTTACTGTTGCTTAAAGACCCAAGATTCACACCAAACCTTCATTTTTTATTTCTCAAATCAAACACCCAAATAACACATAAACCCAAAGCAAAATAACCACTATCAATAAAATTATTTTTAAAAATATTATATCTTTAATTTTGTTATGTTGCTTATTGTTTCTTCTATGTGTTATGGTTATTTCTTTTATGCTTGACTTTTGTTTTCATATTTTGATTGTTTGTTAGTCTTCGATGAATAGTCATTGTTTAGTTAAGGTTTAGCTTAATTGTATTAAGGGTTGGTTATTAGTGATGGATGGTTTGTGTGAAAAGGTAGTGGTAATTGGGTGATAATACTAGAAGTGGAGAGTTTTGAGGGCTGGTTATAGGAATTGATATTTTGAAATTGTAGAACAAAATTAAACCTACTGTTTCTATTTAGTGGTGGACCAATTCTGATTTTTTAACCCAAATATCATCATTATTCTAAATGTGCCTCTTCCTATTAATTGATTTAAGGTCTATGATAGATCATTTGGGGTAACCAACTCAAGATCACATCTAGTGTCTATGCCTAGTTCTTTGAAAAATAGTTTAGTGTAATCCTAAACACTAAAGTGTTGTCCTTTCCTTAAACTGTCCCAAGTAGGTCACTGAAAACAAAATGAATTAGGTTAGGCTTTCTACAATTCTTTATCATATGGAGCCATCAATGATTTAGGGTATCAAATTGGAATATTTTGCTCTAAAAGGTCAAAAGACATGTGAAATTATAAAATGAAGTAATCAATCAAGCATGCCTAATAAACTGACTTGATTGTTAAGCACTATATCATTTACTAAGAAATATATTTCCTCATTGGTTTTGCCATCATTTGAGAATCCTATAACTTATGCTAGCTATTCTTTAGTTACCTTTAGTTCTCTACCCATCAATAAGGTTTTAATCTTATCGAAATAATAGGTATTACCATATCTATCTTCTTTAATGCACATATCATTGCTAAAGAAGGCCCTAACTAGATTCTCATGAATGGATGATCAAAGGTTTAAGAATTTTGTCTAACCAAATTTTTGGAAAATAAGTAAACACAAGAATTAAATCTTTATAGAAAGGCAAGGTTTGTAATTCTATTATGTTTGATTTGATAATGTGTGAAATTA